CAAAAACATTTCCAGAAAAGGGCTTTTGCCCAAACGGGAACGTCAAAGCATTTGTGCAAGAAGCACTGATTTCGGACAGTAGAACGTCAGTGCTTTTGCGCAAAATCAAGCGGCCAGTGTAGACAGCTGGCAAGTTTTTGCGGAAAAACTTGCCAGTCTAGACACAGCCCTAATGTGTAACAACAAATTTGTTTCTGTGTTTCAGTCACTGGATTATAATACAACTAAATTAAATAGAGCAAAGGAGCAGGCCCACAACAAAGGAGATGGTTTCTAAAAGAAATAATTATCCTAATGCCCAATACATGCAGAAAGGCCAAAACAACTCTCTGAGGTTTTTTTAGTATAAAAAAGAAAAGTTTCAAGGACTGTTGCAGTGATTTTCTTCATCTTAGCATATGTGCAATATGCTTTAGGTGGTACATGACCAGGAATCATCACCAAATTGGTTCGCCGGTTGGATCATTAGCTTCCCTGGCTTCAGCTAGGTACTGATAGGGAGTGTGATGTGACCTCTTTAAATCAGAGCCTATGTTAGTACAATTGCCTCTTGCTATTAAAAAGAATCTATTCAGCCCTAATAACTTTTAGTAGGCAGAAAACCAATCACATCCATCAGTAGTTTTCAATCATAGTCATCTTAGGGGTTTGACATTATTGTGCATTTAATTATTCTGCTTCTCAAGAATGTAACCTTCAGCTGCTTAACATCCATGTTGTTGTAGTGGTCCAATCATATCATAATACAAAAAAAAGAGTTGGAATTCCTACACGGCTAAAAAGTTATGCTATAGGAAATAATACTGGTGATTCTATAGGTGGCACTCTTCCCTTCTGGCTAGCTCGGAACTAATACCCCTGCATAGTATTAAGAAGTATTGTGCTTCTAGAGCGGTTTGTCTTTCACATGATATGTAAAACTAAATTCCTGGCCTCTGAAAATTGATGCAGAAGAAAACTGAGTGAATTCTGTTTAGGATAATTACATTCTGCCTATACATCTTCTTCAGTGTCAAATATATAAGTCTTCATGTTCTAAACCAGTGATGGGCAGCCTAGGCTAATGAGTGGACCACATAAGGAGCCTTCCAACTTCTCAGTGGGTTGCAAGATTGTCATAACTAAGATGGTCTCCCAGGATAAGGGAGTTTTGCTCATTGCGCTTGCATACCTAGAATTTGCAGGACATGCCAATTGAATAGTAGCAGTGAGTTGAGCGGATGCTGAGGGAACACACATCTCTCTGTCACTGTTGTGTGCAATATAGCATGCACCTCACTTCACATGCTCTTGCTTTACATGTATGTCACTTTAGTAATACCAGTAGAGAAAAACTGTGCAGATGGAAGCAAGCGAACTGTCAACCCTGCAAATGGGCATTGGTAAACAAAATGTCTCATGGGCCAGACATAGAACCCTGATAAGCTGCGATTGCCAACCACTGTTCTAAACTGTTGTGTATAGTGTTTTATGCTAATGCTAAAAGAATTGCTGCAAGTAAGGGCACATCTACAAAGCAGAGCTAAAGCTGAAATAAGCTACAAAACTTGAGTTATGTCAATTGCAAAGTTTAAGTCTAAATAGCTTATTTCAGCTTTTGGCACTGTCTACACAGCAAGAAGTCAGAGGTAGAGCACTCTTCCTCTGACTTCCCTTACTCCTCGTAAAATGAGGGTTATAAAAGTTAGAGTAAGAAGTCCACCAGTTTGACATTATGTCAAAATAACTGCTTGTAGTGTAGATGTGGAATATGTTATATCAGAATAACGTCAGTTATTCCAAAATAACACTGCTATGTAGATGTACCCCATGAGATGAATTCTTGAATATAAGTAAAAATGCTGTGGGATTTTTCAGTATGGAAAGCACTATATAAACAATAGAGTAAATGATGAGTACTGACAAATTCCACTATGTACTATAGAATTATAGGGGAGGAAACAAGCTAAATTAGAATGTGACTGGGCATTAGGTGCATGCCCAAGAACATCAAGAAAGATTTAAAATAAACTTGTATCAGAAATATTTCTACTTTAATAAAGGTAGCTCTATATCTTGAGGACTTCCAAGTACTCTAAAACAGCAATACAATGCATTGTTTATTGATGTGTTATGCTTGCGATTCCTGTTACCTATAATACGGCCATATAATTTGGTTTATTGCACCCAAAATATCCTTATTCAATGTCTCTAGTAGTTTGCTTTGAGATTAGAAATCATTTTCTTATTATCTTCTGGCAGTCAAATTGTATTTCACAGTATTGCATACAATATGGCTTCATAAATGGTCTCTTAGCCCCTTCCCCATTTAACTTCAAAATAACTTATTTAGATAAACTGGAGAGATTTAAAGTAAACGCTGTATTTCATTCAATAATTTAGTTGAGAACTAGAGGCACGTCTATTATAATAAAGGATTCTGTTCTATTTCAATAAAAATTGAAATATAAACATTCTTGCCCACAAATCTTGTAGTTAAATCTTACTGTATATAATGCAACAAAAAAAGTCTGGTAAAAAAATAAGTTTGTGTATAGTTCTCTCAGATTATCCATTGTGTTAATGCTGTCCATTCACCTCTCGCCTTTTCAGCATAGATTACTCTTTCAGTTACTCACCCTTAGAACCAAAGTAACATAACTGGAAAGTGAGAAAATAATTGTATGGAACTTTCAAAAGATGGTTGGAGCACAGGGAAAGAAGACCCACATTACTTTGACTTGTGTTGTGGTTTGAAATCCCGCACTGGATCATGTAGGAATAATGATCTTGGCAATGCAATAATAGATGAAATAGTCAAAAGAAAACCCTATCCATTGTTTCTGGAATAAGGGGAAAGAGATGTATCCAACACAAAATGGCACATTGGGAAGAACAGAATTAAATGTCAAGGAATGGGTTGTCCTCTAAATCAATGGTTCTCAACCAGGGATATGAGGCCCCTTGAGGGGCTGCAAGCAGGTATCAGAGGGTCCACCACGCATGAACCACATCAGAGTTGCTAGAGCCCAAGGCAGAAAGCCAAAGCCCCATCACATGAGATTGCAGCTGAGCCTGAGTCTCACCAGTGGGACCTGAAGTGGAAGCGTGAGCAACTTAGCTTTGTGATGCTGTCAGCCGACGGTCAGGGCAGTGTGTGTGTGTATGCTTCCGAGAAAAGGTTTAACGTCCGTGTCTTTACTGCTAGGACCGGGGTCCCGTCGCAGAGGGTGGCCAGCAGGCCAACAGACGCCCCATTATATAGGAAGAGCTTATTACACCTTAGATTTTAACTGCTAGAACACAAAGTTCCTTCGCAGCGGGCAGCCTGGGAAAGGCTGGAAAGGTACCCCAACGGATCTTGTCACCTGGGAGTGACACAGATCCAAACGCCCAAGCTCTCCCTATGTCTGTCCCTTTATGACTGGCTGAAGTTCTTTTAAATTGTGCTTGGTTCTGTTACAGCAACTGAAGGAGTCAGGTTAAAGCTTAAACAGTTACAGGTTTATTAAAAGACTTATAAAAGCATATGGTTACAATGGCTATTGCTCTATTTCTTAAGTGCTAACAAATACAGATTTTAAAAATGGTTACAAAGAAAATAAAGATAGAAAATAGAAATAATGGTACCAAGTGACAGCTTAATCTTTAAAGAGCTCTAAGTCTATGTATATATATACTTAAACAAAGGACCACATCCAGGTACAATTTTTACCCCTTTCTGTGCCTCTCGACTCCAGCATGTCAGGCCAGGGCCGGTCTCTCAATTCCTAGGAAAGACGAATACGAGGTGGGCGTCCCCTTCGAACCTCGGGAGATCAAACACCAAACCCGACCAGCAGATAGATGGTAGATTGACACTCAGAGAAAATGCGCTGCTGGACCTATCTTTATACCCCTGGGGGCCCGTATTCTCTTTCTTATCTAAGATGCCAAATTGTACTGGTCCGTTTTGTGGCGCCAGTTCTTACAAGCAAGTTTCAAGTTAATTTACACTTGCAAGAGAGATAACTAAATTGTGAGCACTAGACATTTTTTACTGGGCGAGAGATTCCTCCCCCCGCGGATGGATGTGTGTTCGTATCAATATGGGTTTGAGTCAAGGGCACTCTTTGGCAGCCTCTTGGTCAACAATTGGAGTATCTCTGTTTACAGCCATTCACGGTCACAGCAGCCTGGGCCTTCTGCTCTGTGTGCCCTGTATGCTCCAGGCAAGCAAAAATGGATGTTACAAGGGGGTTCCTGTCTGGCTACAGATGCCCCCATTACATAGGGCCTTTGGAAGTTGCCCTACTTATTACCTTCTAATGGTGGCCCTTAGATTTCATATGCAGAAAAACAGTTGTGGCACAGCTGGGCCATGGGGCTTTTATAGCATGGTGGGAAGTGAAAGGGAGCTCAGAAAGAAAAAAGTTGAGAACTCCTGCTCTAAATCTCTCCTCTACCCCAAATCTTCAGCTAATATTCCACAGCTACCTCTTAACTATGCTTGAATACTTTCTCTGCTATTCCCAGGATTACAACCAAAGAAAAAAGAAAATCCAAGACATTAACATGACAGCTGAAATGGCTATGTCTAAATATGTAAAAATTAAAGCACTTCTCCCAAGAGATTTAACCTTTCTTCTTGCTGGGTTTTGTCTTGTCCATCCTTTTTGATGTGGTATTTACATGTTGCATCATCAATCTAAATTACCATGGAGCAAAACTGAAAGCCTATGGTAGTTAATCTTTAGTACAAGATGACACATCCATGCAAGCAACTACTACATAAAAGAATGATGTGACCATCAGCCTAAGGATCCTAGACAACTGCATAGCAGCAGCAACCCAGATGATTCTCTATACTTAAGTGCACATTTGCAGCATCATGTTCATAGGATTAGCCATACAAGTGATGTTATTGCTAATAGAAATTGCATCTTTATTCCACTGTACATAGGGCTCAAAATGTGATATGTCAGGCATTCAAACATCTAATAAGTATATGCAGACATATAGTATACAAATCATATGATTTTCACATTGACTAAGTTATACTGTGTAAACTTACACTTCAGAATATCAACCATCTATTCCTGTATTATAAAGTAATATACTAATGTGATACAGTAGTGCAGGAATACTTTTCTCCTGTTCATTCATTGTGGAGATTCTGTACAGAATTCAGTGTTCCAATTTAGCATGATTTATGCTTTAACTTCCTTTGAGATGGTTATTCAAATATACACTCTGTTTATGAATGTGAGAAGTTTAGCACATGACCATAGACCAGTAAATATTCCTTGTTATTTTTGTAGTCTCTAAAATTCAGTTTGATTCTGCATGAGATTTCTGGGACTCTGATAGACAAATTAAAATAACCCTTTTATTCTAACAGACAGACTCCTATGTGAAATATTGTCTAAAATTATTTCAAAGTTGTTGCTGTGCAACTTTCCTGGAGATCAAAGTCTTTCTTTGTTGACATTATTCATTACAGTATACCACACCTACAACATACTGCTTAGCAAGGTCATTAGTGCTTACATGATTCAGTTATTATAATTGCTTACCTAATTGTGACAGAATGGGGACTGTGGGGATTGTATTCTCCTTGTTATGTTGCAGGTGATTTCTACTGTCCTGTAGTAACCCCATGTATGTGCCTCAGTTTCCCAGTATTTAGATGTTGATGGGAATTTTGGTGTGATAGCCTTCCCCACATGTATAATGGCTGATGCTTTTTGTAACCTGAGCCCGGGGGAGGTGTAACCAGGTGATTTTAGATGTTGATGGGAATTTTGGTGTGATAGCCTTCCCCACATGTATAATGGCTGATGCTTTTTGTAACCTGAGCCCGGGGGAGGTGTAACCAGGTGATACCTTTTGCCCAGGAAACAGGACAAAGGCCAGAGGCGGGGCAGGCTGCTGGGCACGTGACTTAATCTTGTTAGCCTGGGGTTTCCCCAAGATGGATTGTACTGATCACTTCTGGTTACTCTGCTGACAAGTCTATTCTTTGCTGTGTCCCTGCTGACAAATAAATCTTCTATTCCACCTGCTGGCTGAGAGTCACATCTGAGTACGGATGTGGGTGCAGGGCCCAGTGATTCCCCAAACTTCAGTGATACTACTCACGGCCAATATTCATAGCATTACAATCAGAGAAAGAAATGTGGTTTTCAAGAGGAAAATATTTCACATTGAGCCAGATGTACATATGGTTCTTTAGAAAGGATGCACAAAAAAATCTTTACATAATATACAGGCTTACAAAAACCTTTTCCAGACTATTAGCTATTCCGCATCTTTTGAGCAAGTCCATTATTTTGAAACATACCAGGCTTGCTAGACTGACATCCTTGTAAACCTCATTCCATGAGGATTAAGGGACATTTTGGAACAACAGTTTATTTCAAAATTTAGCTTTGGGTGGACAGTGCCAAGTTACAAAATACGCTATATTGAATTTAACTCAAAATAAGCTACGCAATTTGCATAGCTCAGTTGCATAGCTTATTTTGAGCTAAAGGTGCAATGTAGATGCACCTTCAGAATGTTCCTCTCCTCGTGAAGGAACAATCACTGTTAAAAGAAATAGCAAGTGAGCAGAGTCAAAATGGTAAATTACTAGAAAAAATAAACCTTTACTTTCCTTTTAAACCATCAGCCACATTTTAGGCCCCTTTTCACACCAAATTAATTTTATAAAGTTTGTTAATGATTGTTCTTGGAATAGTATATGGATATGTCTAAACTATGGATTTTTTTTTTTTAAAAAGTCTGTTTTTCTGAAAACTTCAGTTATGTCCACACTACAATTGTATTCTTTTGAAAGAAAATTGAAAGAACAGAGGGGTTTTTCCAACATTGGTAAACCTCTTTCTATGAGGAAGAAGCCTTTTCCCGATAGAGCTCTTTCAGAAAAAGGCATATGTGGATGGGGAAGAGGGAGTTCTTTCACAAGAAGAGGAAAGAAGAAAAAGCACAGGTGCTCTGGTGGCCCATTCCGTAGTAATCACAGCTTACATGTGAGATAGTGTCCAGACTAAATGGACGCTATCTTTCAAAAAAGCAAATCGCTTTTTCAACGTGCTTTGGCAGTGTGGATGCTCTCTTTTGGAAGAGGTTTTTTCAGAAGATCTCTTCCAGAAAAGCTTCTTCCGAAAGAAGCCTGCAGTTAGGGTTGCCAGGTGTCCTGTATTGACCCAGACAGTCCGCTATCTTCAGCTCCTGTCCAGTAAAACATTCAGAAAATACCGGACACTTAATGTCCGGTATTTTCTGATTTTTTTCCTGGCGAGGGGGCAAAAATACCAGACTGTCCGGGTCAATATCGGACACCTGGCAACCTTACACACACTCAGCAGTCCCCCCATACACACCACTTACCTGGTTCTGCAGGGGAGCTGTCTGGCCTACAGCCGGGAGGAAGGCAAGATAGCCACTGGCTGCTGGCAGCCTGTTAGGAGAGACAGAGCCCAGCCCCACCTATTCTTAAAGGGGCCATGCTGTTTTGTTTTAATTTTTAAATTTTTTTGCTTAACTCTGGGTCTTTTTTTTTTTTTTGGCTCAACAGCTTTGGTCATCCCCCCACCCTTTTTTTCAACACATTTTCCCCCTTTTTTGGGGGGCAGGGGGTGTTTGGTATTTTTGCTAAACCATCTGTGACGTGGGGGTAACTTGCTAGGGCTGTGGCGACCTTGCTAGGGCTGTGGCGACCTCTGCTGTCTGTAGGAAGACCCAGCAGGGAAAGGGGGAGTCATTATGCAAAGGTGGCTCCAAACTGGTCTGACCAGCCACCCCCCATGGGGAGAAACAAAGGAAGGTGGAAGGCTGCCCTGGCTGGGGGCAGGGCTGGGAGAGGTAGAGTTAGTTCCTGTCTGGAAAGCAGGGGAGAAGGAGCTGGGGAGGGGGGCTGGGACTCCCTCATCTCAAGGGGGGCACTGAGGCCTCTTAGCCCCAGTTCCTGTAACCAGATTACATCTATGCTGTGCTATATCCTGGAGAAGCAATAAACTACCTCCATTCTACTGGCTGGTGGAGTCTGTTCGTGCCATTTCGGGGTGCAGGAGACAGGGGACCCCAACGCGCCGTCACACCATCTGGCAACCCTACCTGCAGTCTAGACATAGCCTATGGTATAATCTGGAAAAGGTATTCCCATAAACAAATCTTTTAAAGTTGTTTTACTTAGCAATAAAGGCAACAATACTAGACTGCACCAGCCAGAAAAGTTTGAAACACTGATTCCCAGTTCTTTCATATCTAGCCTAGTGAAAGCCTGTTGTAACTTTAGATGTATATAAACCCTGCCTGCACTCCTATAAATAGCAACCTAATGCAGCACCATACACAACATGAAAAGACATATGTGCAAATGTTATTTTTCTCGCTGAAGTTATAAATTTGTTCCTGCCTATATCTAAAATATAGGTTTTCTTTAGTCACAAATACCACGATCAAAAGAAAGATGGTTTAGTCAATAGAAGTAAACAAAAATAAGACTTCATGTAACGTAGTTGAAAGAGTCAGTAATTCTTCCAGCTTACTTGGGCAAAACAGAAAAATCAGAAAAAGATATTTTTTAATTAAATACATTTTTCTTTTTAAACATAAACCTATTTAATTTGAAATTATTCCAACCTATATTAAGGCCTACATTTACTATAATTAAAATAATTTGAAACAATTTTAAAAATGCATTGATAATGAGCCCTACTTAAATTTTAAAACATGCTGCTTTTTAATTATATACTGTAAGTTCAAATAAGTTTAATGATATAAGTTCAGCTCTACTCAGGTATTCATAAACAGTGGAACAGCTTCAACTGAACAGACTGAGGAAACCCTACATCAAAACATCCTCTAGATTGGTGGCTAGGTAACACCCTTGTGATGTGCAAAAGACATTCAAATTCCTCTTCCACATTAAGTAGAGGGGGCTTTCAATTTAGCTAGCAATGGCAAATAAAATTTTATTTGAACTGGGAAACTAACAGAGTTGAAAAATAAAAAGCTTGTTTTCCTCTTCCAATCTATGAATAAAAAACAAGTTGGAGAATATGAGGTATACTAATTAAAAAACGTGAAGGAGATAGGGCCAGATTTTCAAAGATATTTAAGATACTTGATATCAATAGGTGCTAAGTACTATACCTGCTTAGGTGTCTTTGAAAATCCCACAAGGCTCCTAAGAATATATTTAAATGCCCAAATACCTTTGAAAATCTGGCTCATGGTAACAAGAAACAAAAAAAAACACTTGCTACAGTTAATGTGTCCTTAGTTTTAACGCAAAACATATTTTGATAAACTTATTCTTTCTCTCTGTGTCCAGCATATTTAAGGTTATTTTATGTAACTAATAAAATAAAATTTAAAATGTTGCATTTGTGCATATTTAATTCCAATAGCCATTCAAATACATTTTTACAGAAGTTATGAGTGAATCATCATGTAGTAAATAAATATATCATTAATGACTTTTATAGCCTGGGAAGAAGTTCTAGTAAAATTTGGATGGGTAAGGCTCACCAATCTGACCAGAAATTCTAAGTTCGTCCTCTGTATCCCAGGTTACAATGCAGTGAAACGATAAGATTCCTCCTCTTGAGGGCCAGCAGACGATTGACAGCAACCACACTTTAATTCAGAAAATTAAATAGAAAACAATTTTACTGCCAAAGGTAGGACAATGATAATAATCATAATGAATATGACAACAAGAACACAAATTATCTGGCTTCCTTCCCCAGATGACATTAACACAAAAGGCCTTGAAGGCCTTGGAGCAGGTGGTGGTGAAATTCCTAAAAGCAAACTTAAGCAAAATGAAAGAAGCAAGAAAGCAATAAAAAGATAGAATAGAGATAAGTATTTGGTTTCTGACCTGAAAAGATAAAAACACTCCCCAGACTCTAACACCAACTTTTGTTAGAGACAAGGTTAGTGACGTAATATATTTTATTGGACTAACTTCTGTTAATGAGAGCTACAAACTTTCTCTCTTACATAGAGCTCTTCTTCAGGGTGTTGGTGACAGGCTAAATGGCTATTATACCAGTCTATGAAAATGTAATGGTTTCTCAAAACAGTAACTAGAAAATGTCACAAGCAACAACACAACTTAAATCACAAGAAATTTTTAACAGCAAAACAATAGCTACATCACAAATCCCGTTTAAAACAGACATAAATTAAATGTGCACAAAATCTAATTTAGATTCAGTGCTTTTCTATAGCTAGCAATAATTGCCTTTTCTAGTTATTAATTTAGTGTAAGTATATCTGTCTGGTGAAACCTATTGTTTCAGCAGGTCTAGCAAGAATACAATTTTACTGCAGTGAGAAAGAAAATGGATTAGAACTTCCTTTTGCTATGTAGCTAAACATGAAAACAAAACATGAAAACAATCACATAAAAATCAAACCGTTTTCCACATAAACACAGATCCTTCTATTTTAGCAATTCACCTAGAAAAAAAGAAGCAAGAATTTTCCACCTCTGCCCTCATTACCTCCTATGTCCCCTCCCACACTCTTCCCTAACTTTTTCTCATGATTCACTCATGATTTTGTGACTTATTTTATACAACCCCATATACCTTGAGCAACCTTTGCTCCTGGCCACCGGGGGCTCCCCACACAGTCCCTGCACTGTTCCCCCTAACACCTGCCTTCCTCCCCTGCACTGTGTCCTCTTTGCCCCTAATCCCGGAGATTCCCTAAACCCTACACCTCCTCACCCCAATTTCTGCCCCATCCTGCCTGCACACCTAATTCCTACACTCCCCTTCTATGCTCTTATCCCCATTCCTCCTAATCCCTCCCCTGCCAGAAGCTGGGTGCAGTTTGACTCTAGACTGGCCGTGCACACCTCTCTGCTGCAACATGGACCACTGATGCTCTGGGCAAATACAATAAGGCCAGCCCTGGCTGTGATCCCCAAAGCAGAGTAAGGCACACAGGCTTCCTATTCAATGAATGGTGAGCTAAGCCTGTGAGCCACACAAGCCAGTATGCTAAACAGGGAGCTGCCTAATGTACCCCATGGGGGTGTAAATGTTACACCACTCAACTTTCTCAGAGATAGGCATCCATTTCTGTTAGTGATCCATTAACGGATACCAGTTGCCTGGAGTGGGGGGAGTCTTAAATGCCGGTCACTTGTGAACATAAGTTTGGCACCTGTCTTACTGCAAAACAGCTTCACGTGGTGGTGCCAATGCCCACCTTATAACATTTAGCACAATAATTAGAGAACTCACATGGGAAGTGGAAAATGCTGGTTCAATTCTATCCCCTCAGTCAGAGAGGGAGAAAAAAAGTTATGCTGTTGGAATTCTGCATCACAGCACAATGCAAAATTAATGTTCTCTGCAGAATTTTTATTTTTCCTTGTGATTTCCTGTCAAGACTCTTACCTGCACCTTGCATGGACGGCTAGGGCTCTGGATGATAACAGGAGCCCCAGCCATGTAGGACTGACTGCAAGAGCCCCAGCCATGTGGGGCTGTCAGCAGAACCCCCAGCAGTGCAGGACTGATAGTAGAAGTGTGATTAGTCTGACAAATAAAAATCAGAGAATTTTAAAATACAATGCACAGAATTTTTAATTTTTTGGCATAGCATTCCCCAGGAGTAATTTGAATTGGATCTCACATATCTTAGGAGAGCTTTCCAATCACTAAACTCTGTGATATTCTGAGATGGGGTTCCCACAATCTCTGTACAATATATGGGGATATTCACCTCCCTGAGAAGGGAACCCACAAAAATCTGAGCTGCCAAAGTTAGCTAACTGTAGATCTGATAGAGAGGGATGTGTCCTAAATCCAACCTTTTTTGGGAGTTAGGCACCTAAGTCTGAGCTCTAAGGTGCCACATATTTCTTCTTGGGATCCACAGCTGGGAATGTCTCCTGGAGTCAAGCATCCAACATGTTTCTTGCAAGAACAACAACAGTGCCTGGTAACTCTACACAAAAGAGCCCCAGGGGAAGAAGAGGAAAGAAGAAAATGGCAGCAGAAACCTCCTTTATAATTTTTAGCCCAGTTGTTAGGACAGTCAGCCTATATCAACACTGCAGCACTATTTTGGGATACCTCTATTCAGCGTCTTTTGAGCATGCCGTTATTTTGAAATATAATGGTCTTGCTATTCCGATGTCCCTGTAAACCTCATTCCACGAGGAGTAAGGGATGTTTCAGAATAGTGATTTATTTTGAAATAAGTGCTGTGTAGACAGTGCCAAATTTCGAAATAATCTATTTAGAAATTGACTCAAAATAAGCTATGCAATTTGCATAACTCAAATTGTGTCGCTTATTTCAAGTTACGGGTACAGCGTAGACCCATCTTCAGGGTATGTCTACACATCAGGGCTAAAGTTGAATTAAGATATGATACTTCAGCTACCTCAGTTGCATAGCTTAAGTTGAAATAGGTTAATTCATCTTTTGGTGCTGTCTACACAGCAGGAAGTCACTTCCTTTACTTCTCCTGAAATTAGGGTTACCATGAGTCAGTGTAAGAAGTCTTCCAGGTCAACATTATTTTGAAATAAATGCTTGTAGTGTAGATGCGCACTATGTTATTCTGAAATAACGTCAGTTATTCCGAAATAACGCTGCTGTGTTGATGTACCCTCCAAGTCCTAAGGGGGCATAGATACCACAGTACGATTTCCCTTTTGCCTGACAGGAGAAGGGACATGAACATTTGGTGGCTAGTGACACCACCTCCTCTCTGATTACCAGGCATGTAGTATATTTGCAGCAGCACATATAGCAATCGTTTACATGGAAAAGTAATATTTTAAAAGTATTTATTGCATTTTTTACTTCTTTTAATGCTATTATTAGGAATTACCACCAGTCACCTATCTGCACACCATCAGAAAGTGGTCCATAGACCATTGTTTGAGAATCACTGACCAACTGCATCTTGAATAATGAGGAGGGCATACATTTGGAAAAACAAAGATGGGAAAAGAGTTTGAAAAATGGTTCTTTAGCCACACAATTAAACTAAGGATGTTGTTAGAAAAGATAAACATACACAAATCAATGGGCCCAGATTTAATGCATCCGAGGGTACTGAGAGAGTTGGCAAATATCATTGCGGAGCCTTTGGCCATTAGCTTTCAAAACTCGTGGAGATTGGGAGAGATCCCGGAAGATTGGAAAAAGGCAAATGTAGTGTCCATCTTTAAAAAGGGGAAGAAGCACAATCCAGGGAACAACAGACCAGTCAGCCTTACCTCAGTCCCTGGAAAAATCATGGAGGAGATCCTCAAGGAATCCATTTTGAAGCATTTGGAAGAGGGGAAAATGATCAGGAATAGTCAACATGGATTCACGAAGGGCAAGTTGTGCCTGACCAATCTGATTAGCTTCTATGATGAGATAACTGGCTCTGTAGATATGGGAAAGTCAGTGGATGTGATATACCTTGACTTTAGCAAAGCTTTTGATATGGTCTCCCACAATATTCTTGCCAGCAAGTTAAGGGAGTATGGATTGGATAAATGGACTGTAAGGTGGATAGAAAGCTGGCTAGACTGTCAGGCCCAATGGGTAGTGATCAACGGCTTGATGTCAGGTTGGCGGTCGGTTTCTAGCGGAGTGCCTCAAGAATGGGTTCTTGGACTGCTTTTGTTCAACATCTTTATTAATGACCTGGATGAGGGGATGGATTGCACCCTCAGCAAGTTTGCAGATGACACTAAGCTAGGGGGAGAGGTAAATACGCTGGAGGACAGGAATAGGGTCCAGAGTGACCTGGACAGATTAGAGGATTGGGCCAAAAGAAATCTGAGGAGGTTCAACAAGGACAAGTACAGAGTCCTGCACTTGGGACAGAAGAATCCCAAGCAATTCAGCAGAAAAGGACCTGGGGATTACAGTGGATGAAAAGCTGGATATGAATCAACAGTGTGCCCTTGTAGCCAAAAAGGTGAATGGCATATTAGGTTGCATTAGGAGGAGCATTGCCAGCAGATCCAGAGAAGTGATTATTCCCCTTTATTCAGCTCTGGTGAGGCCACATATGGAATATTGTATCCAGTTCTGGGCCCCCCACTATAGAAAGGATGTGGATGCATTGGAGAGGGTCTAGAGGAGGGCAACCAAAATTATTAAGGGGCTGGAGTGCATGACCTATGAGGAGAGAGTGAGGGATTTGGGTTTGTTTAAGTCTGCAGAAGAGAAGAGCGAGGGGGGATTTGAGAGCTGCCTTCAGCTTCCTGAAGGGAGGTTCCAAAGAGGATGGAGAAAGGCTGTTCACAGTAGTGATGGATGGCAGAACCAGGAGCAATGGTCTCAAGTTACAGTGGGGGATGTCTAGGCTGGTGTAAGAGGGTCGTTGGCTGTACCCTCTCTCTCTTGTGGTTTCACCCCCTTCGGGGGGAGGGGACCACCTGCCGGGTGCCCATAGGCTATTTACTCAGTTTTGGACCATCGTCCCGGAGGATGCATCTCAGTCCTGTCAATAATGTCCCGTAAGTTCCCTCCAAGGCACTCCCGTGGGGGTAGGGAGACCGGGCCTGCCCTCTCTCATGGGTCCCAGCCCAGGGCCCTAAGTACGCTCACGGTCTGATCCAGATGGTGGGGCTCCTGCCGAAACTCACCAGCCCTTGGGCACTACGCAGGAAGTCCTGCCCTGGGCTATTTCCTACCCCACGAGTCTGGTTCATGGTCTCCAGGGTGTTCCCTTGCTCCCCCACCTTCCCTTCCTGACCTCTCCCTTTGGAGTCCTGTCTTCTCCCTTTGAATTCCCCCCACCGGGCGCCTCTGTCTCTCACTCCTCCTTCTGACCTCATGCCACTCTACTGTCACTCTTTAGCCCCGCCCCTTGCTTTCACCATGTCTCTGTGCCCCCTCCCCGATCCCGTGGGGGCTGGGCGCCCTCTCGGTCCCCTCTCGTTGTTGCAGCTCAGCTGTGCTGCGGTGCGGGAACAAGCGGCACAGCTGGGGGCTTTCGCAGTCTCCACTCCGGACAACACGGGGATTGGAGCGGCCTGGGTGCAGGGCGAGCTTGCACCACTGAAGCGGGGCGGAGTCGCTCCGTCACAGTTGGGTATTAGGAAAAACTATTTCACTAGGAGTGTGGTGAAGCACTGGAATGGGTTACCTAGGGAGATGGTGGAATCTCCATCCCTAGAGGTGTTTAAATCTTGGCTTGATAAAGCCCTGGCTGGGTTGATTTAGTTGAGATTGGTCCTGCCTTGGACAGGGGGCTGGACTTGATGATCTCCTGAGGTCTCTTCCAGCTCTATGATTTTTTGAATCTGAACACTGGGAGAAACAGAGGCATTCCATTCACTGTCTATTGTTCATGTTTTTTATCTGTTTTTTAAAAAAGATTTAGAATACATGTGAGGAAAAAGCTAGTCAAATAACTGCTTATTGTTTTAACGGACATAATTAATTATTGTAATTTATATTTTCCAGGTCTACTTAGTCTCAGGTAAATAAAGCAATGCTGAGTAAATCTGAACTTGTCTTTTTCTTATGTCCCAGTGTCCTAGTCTTTCCTATTTCTAAACCTGTGTGGGAGGTAGAATTTGTTTACAAGGCTGGCACTATCCCACATCGTATTTCTAGCTGGTAACACTTTACATAGTAGTTGCAAAATAATTTTAGTTTAGCAGAACATTGCATTATGATGCTAACAGGTTTGTCTTGCAGGAAAACGTTATTCAAAGGTGGCAACTCTGCCATATTACCACAGTCAAAACAGAGCTGACAACAACAGATGTATTGAGACACATATATACATAGTACAATTTTTATATGTATGAACTGACTTTTTAAGGCTATGCACACTGCTGAAAGATTAAAAGAAATGTATGGACTATTAAATACGCAGATGAAGTTACTACATGAACATTTTGCAGCCCATTCTCTTCTACATGTGGAAACAAAACAGAATACTATTTGGTTGGACTGTGGGCTCCAGGGGTACATAAGAGTCAACAAATCTCCATCTGGTGCTCTTCGCTAAAATCTTTAACTTACCTTTTAACAGTCCTCTCTTTTGAAAAGGTAAACAAAAAAATCTCCAATTACGTTTATAGTGTCCTGATAAACAATTTACATGGCATATGTTGAAAGAAATGGAGAGAAATTAGCAGTTCAAACAAAAGAGATATTTTTATCCATACAGTAGACTCAACAGTATGACTAATTAATCTTTTTCTAGACTAAGAAAAGTATTGATAAGGCGTATCATATATTTGTATCTACAATACGGAATAGACTTATTTTGCTGCTTTGACTCAGAACAGATTCAGGGCTTCCAAGCTGTTATATTATTCTTATTGTTACAATTCTACAAAACAATTTAAAAAAGCTACATGAAGTCTTTTCAAAAGAAGCCTTTGAAACTAGTCGTGAATCACCGCAGAATCATTACATCGGTGTTCTTGGCTAAATTTCTCTTCCCTTACTGTTATGTCTTATTGTATGAGGGACAGCAGCAATTTTTTCAATGGCAGTATAGTTTTTAGGATCTTGTAGGATGCCCACCCTGGGTGCGAGAAATAATGCCGAATTGTATTATTTTATTTCGTCTTTCACCCGCAACTGTTAAACATCCTCAATGTGATTTTACACTTCCGCTCTATTGCTGTAGGACGCTTTTGTCCTTCGGGCTTCACGTTGCATGCCGCACTCCTGCACCTCCGGAGAGCGCCGATCGGCAGGGCTACACCTTCAGGGAGGGCCCTTCGGCTACTTGCTGCGGCGGTCGCTGCAGCCTGCTTTGAGTGCAGGGCAGACGGAGGCGGGGCGGGGACGCGCTGAGGACTTTGCTTCTGCAAATCCGCATTCCCCACATTCCAGCAGCGGGTGACGTCGGGGATGGGAGGGGGCGGCTGTCAGCTCCGCTGCGGCAAATGGCCCTTTCAAATGGCCTTTTCCCCACCGCCCTCGTGGGGCAAGAGCCCGGCCCCAGAGCGCCTCTTAGCGCCCCAGTTCGCTGCTGGGAAGCAACAGTAACACAGCACGCAGCGGGGGTGGGGTAGAGGGAACTGCCGCCTTTCGCCCGGCAGATGGAAGTCGCAGGCCAGGCGCGCGGCTATGGGAGCGAGGCGGCCACGGGCCCGGTTTGCCCCTGCAGCAGGCCAGGGGTGCGGCATCAGCAGAATTAGGCGGGGGCGCCTCAGGAGCTCGAGGGAAGGTGACGGCGGGCCGGGGATAGGCAGCTAGGCCACCCAGGGGATCACACTGAGGGCTGGGCGCCCTGCACAAGGCAGGCGCAGACAGGGGCAGGGGCAGGACACTTGACCAGAAAGGGCCGAAATGGGAGGGGGGAGGAGAGCCGGGCTGCACTGGGGCGGGGCCCCGCTAGAGGGCGTGTAACGACAACACTGACCCAGCGAGGGAGCGTGCGCGCGGGCTGGAATTACGTGGGCTAAAGGGGTAGCGCGCGCGCGCGCGCCCCCTTCCCCCTCCCTCCCCACGAGTGCTCGCGCGAGGCGTCTCGCCCCGGCCAATGGGGAGGCGGTGCTGTCGTTAACCCCTGGCTAGGCGGAGCGGAGAATGCGGAGCAGGAAGCGCTGAGGTGAGGGGCTGTGGAATCCGGCCCCCGCCGCCTCTTCCTCTCCTCGCTGTGGCAAGCCGCGGCCGGGGAGGCCTGTGAGGAGGCGACAGGCGTCTGGTGTCGCTGCCGCCGCCTTGGTCTCCGCCTTCCCCGGCCGGTGAGAGAAGCAGCCCGCGCGACAGCTGAGGAGGCCGGGAGCAGAGGCGGCTCAGGAAGCGCTCCGGAGATGATGCCGGTAGGTGCGAGACCCGCTTCGTCCGGGGCGTCCTGATTCCCCTGCTGAGGGGGCTGCGCTCCTACACCATAGCCGGCTCTGTGCTGATTCCCGGCCAGCCCTGGTCAGCGAGGTGGTGGGGAGGGCTCTCGGCATCATCGTCCCCCCGCTTAGGGCTCTGTTGTGTAGGGGCGGGAGACCCAGCCATTGCACCCCTGGTGGGGGCCAGAAATGCACCTTGTCCTCGGGAGGTATCGGGCTCTGTCACCCCGATCGCTGCCTGGCTGCGGAGGTTTCTCTCGGAGAGAGGCGGAAGCATCGTCTGCCGTCCATCCGCTCGCCCTGTGGGCAGAGGGGCCGCCTCGGGGGTCGTGCGTGTGACAGCCAGCCCTGGGCGTGACGGACTCAGGACCCTGCCTCCGCGCTCGCACCCCCTGGCGGGTCTCCCTGCTCTTGGAGGCCACTCGAGCTTCTGCGGTAGTTGGGTTTGTGGGGAGCAAGTTCGAGCGTTTGTGGCTCCTTAGCGTGGGCTGGGATTTTCTTCCTGAAGCCTCGTTTGTTTGTTACCCTTCAAACGCGTTTTCGTCAGCCACGTTAGTAAGGGTTAGTAAGAGACCTCTCGGGTTTATGAGGACGTACAGCTTTGGTTCTTTCTCAAGCGGCTTCATGCGCCTTTCTGGTGGGAAGAATACGTGAAGCAGCTGTACGTCCAGCCTCTCCGTTTCAGGATGGCACAGGCTCTCCTGTGTCTCCTTTCTCGGCTCCCCGCAGTTTTAGTGCGGAGATGTATTGTTTTAGAAGTTAAATACACAAACCACTTTTCCCCTCTCACACCAAATGAGTGCAGCTTTCGTGTGCATTCAGGTGCAGTGGCCTGGAGAGTTGTGTTTAGTGCCAGCAGTGGGTTTGTGGCTAAATCTTTGGATTGTAAGGAATAGTCATATTCATTTTATTTTTAAAGTTCAAATTTTGTTTATTAAAATAGCATTTATCAATTAAAACACCCAATAGAAAATTGTATGTGTTTTTTGACTTAAGAACACTTCTTAATTGTTAACATTTCTCCATGCTGCAGCAGGATGCTTACCAGTGTGCTTATGGAAATGCAATTGAATAAAAATGGACTGTTCTGTGTGAGTGGTTCTTGTTTGTTTTGTTCTCCAAACTTGAGAGGAAACTAAGCAGAGTAAATTAGATAAAAAAACGTTCATTATGACCTGTACAAGGTGTTAACAATGGAATTTTCTTAACTGTATGTAGTTTTCTTCTAATTTTTTAGCAGACACATACAAAAGGATTCCATTAAAATGTTAAAAAAAAAACTTTTGTAAACAAGTTCTTGCCAAAGACAGAGACAATAAGAGATTCATTTGTAGTTCCTAATCCATACATATATGAGTATTGTGCAGTTTTAGATAATGAAGAGAAGCCTGACAATTTTCTCAGCTTTTATGCTTCATAAAAGCTAATATGAATGATAGGTCATTAATCAGAGACTTCTAAACATACTTGTTTACTGCTGCCTGTTAATATGTGGTGTGTGGGTTATTGTGTGTTGGTTTTTTGTGTGTGTGTGTGTTTATAGTGCGCTGGGAGTGCAGTTTTTTTAATTCTCATAGCCCTTCTAGGCCTTTGATTAGGTTCATTGTTTTGTATTCTAAATATTGCTGTTGCTTCTGGTAGTCTTCAAAGTATCTTAATATTGATGTTTGGTTTTAGATGCAACAAACTACCTTGCACCAGCTGTAGCTGTTTTGAAAATTGGGTATTGCTGATCAAAATTCTGAAGTATTTGATTTGTTTTTCTATTTTGATTAGTGTATCCTCTGATAATGAAATAAATAACACTTACTTGAATATGTCATCGTGTGTAAGCACAATGTATTTTTGGGATACCTTTGAAAGTGCACTTCAGTCCTGATCTAGTTCATCCTGAGTATTCTACTTCTGGACCTCTAGAGAAATGCCACAAATTCTGTTTGTGTAGTGATCTAATTCTGTGAGCAGGTGATGATGGGGGACTGGAAAGGGACCAAACATAATTTTACTTGTGACTCCTAAGTAAATTTTTGAGCCCAGATTTCAGGAGTAAAAGGGTAGTATCTTAATTTTATTGTATTAGCCAGCTCCTAGACATCAGACTAATGGAAGACTTCCTTTCCAAAAATAACTTTTGAATAATTGGTTAACAACAAACATGTTTGCAAAGACTATATATATTAGCAGAATTACACTGTAGTTAATAGCTCGGCTACAAAATATTTTTCAGGAGCAAAAATGTTAACATTTTGGGTGCCCAACTAAAAGTATGGGTGACAAATACTAAAATTCTGGGATTCTGCACTGACTATAGATCCCATCCCAAAATACCTTTTAAAAAGAACAAAGTATTTGTATTAAATCATTGATAACCCTGACCACCTATCAGAGTAAAAACGTGTTTGTGGGTTTTTGTGTCCATTCAGTTCTTAATGGTACAAAACGTGTAACTGTCTGATACTCTTTCATCTGAGTTCATGTGGCTCTTTACAGTTCTACAAGTCCATCATTTATGATGGCCATTTGAAGTGATATGGGTACTCCTGTGTATGCAATTGCATAGAAAACAACTGGTTTTTGAAGAGACCATTGTTTTTATTCTATCCCCTCTTCTGCTCTAATAGTAACTGTATAATTCTGGGTCTAGTACTGAGATGGGCAATAATCTTAGATGAGGAGAGCACTTCAGAAATTTTTGAAGTGGCCTTAGGCTGTCCCAGAAGGGGCGGGGCCTCAGGCAGAAGGGGCAGGGCCAGGATTCTTCCATGCTTTTTCCCTGCCCACAGACCCTGATTGGCCTGGGGGTGGAGGGAGTGTGTGAAGTCTTTGCCCCCTCCCTCCTCCAGAGGGAACCGCCAGCTATTCCGAACAGTTGAAAGTTCCCTCTAAGGTGCCTAAACCCTTCGCAGCGGGAGGAGACTTCGCACACTCCTCTCTATCCCCAGGTCAATCAGGTTCTGGGGGTGAGGGGAGCATGGGAAGTCTCTCATTCCCTGCCCTCCATTCTGCAGGAGACTTAATGCGCTTTTCCCATCCCCAGGCCTGATTTGCCTGGGGGCAGGGAAGCAGCAGGGCATCCCCAGGCCAGATCAGCCTGCTTGGTGGATTGGATCCAGCCTGTGGAGGCCCTTTTGCCCACCCCTGGTCTAGTATTACATAGGAACTTAAATTTGTCCACTTCCTGGGGTGAGAGGTATTTTTTTAGGACTGTTAGCATATAATTGAATAGTCATATAATTGCTAAAATTTTATATGGTTACACAGCTATTCGCTAGTCCCCAGGGGAAGGACTGGCAGCCAGTGCAATCCGACCCCACTCCTAGGGAGCTCACTGCCATCCCATGCTGCTGCCTCTGTATCAGGGAACTGGTCCCTGCGGAGAATGGCCCACCTGCCTCTTTGTGCTATTGCCTCTGATACAGAGCACCAGTGCGGGGTGGCAGCAGCCCCTATCCATGGAGGGGCGGGGGGAGATCCGAGCTTGCCATGGGCAGAGGCTGCTCCGTGGGATGTGGAGCAGTCTGTCCACTAGGAGCTCGGACTCCCACAGACAGGGGCTGCTGCTGTGGAACAGTCTCCCTTACCCCACCCCCCGCTGCCTCTGATAGAGAGGCAGGAGGGGTGGCTCCTGCCTTTTCTCCTGCCTCTGTAAAAGGCAGCAAGGCATGGTTTGAAAGTTGGCTCCCACCTGCCCCACCCCCCTCATGTTGTTGTCTCGCTGTCAGAGGCAGGCGTGCAGCAGTTAGGAGGGAAGGTGGATCGAGTGCTCATGAGGAACATAAGAACAGCCATACCTGGTCAGACCAAAAGTCCATCTAGCCCAGTATCCTGTCTTCTGACAGTGGCCAATACCATATGCCCCAGAGAGATTGAACAGAACAGGGAATTATCAAGCAATCCCTCTCCCATCACCCATTTCCAGCCTCTGTCAGAGGCTTGTGACACTATTCCTACCCATCCTGGCTAATAGCCATTGATGGCCCTAACTTCCATGAATGTATCTAGTTCTTTCTTGAACCCTGTTCAAATCATGGTCTTCACAACATTCTCTGGCAAGGAGTTTCACAGGTCAACTGTGCACTGTGAAGAAAAACTTCCTTTTTGTTTGTTTTTAAACCTGCTACCTATTTCATTTGGTGACCCCTAGTTCTTATGTTATGGGAACAAGTAAATAGGTTTTCTTTATTCACTTTTCCCACACATCATTTTATAGACTTCTATTATATCACCCCTTAGTCGCCTCTTTTTCTAAACTGAAAAGTTTCAGTCTTTTTAATCTCTCTTCATATGGCATCCATTCCAAATCCCCAATCATTTTTGTTGCCCTGAATATTTTTCCAATGCCATTATCTTTTTTGAGGTGAGGCAACTACAGCTGTACCCAGTATTCAAGATTGGGTATACCATGGTTTTATATAGATGCAGTAAGATGTTTTCTGTCTTAATCTATATCCCTATTTAATTTCTAACATTTGGTTTGCTTTTTTGACTGCTGCACGTTGAGTGGATGTTTTCAGAGAACTGTTCACAATGATTCCAAGATCTCTCTTGAGTAGTTAGAGCTAAATTAGTCCCCATCATATTGTATAGCTGTGTTTATTTTTTTCCAATGTGCATTACTTTGTATTTATCAACATTAAATTTCATTGGCCATTTTGTTGCCCAATCACTGAGGGTATGTCTACACTACCACTCCTAGTTCGAACTAGGGTGGTAATGTAGGCAACCGGAGTTGCAAATGAAGCCCGGGAAATTCAAATCCCGGGCTTCATTTGCATCTCGCCGGGCGCTGCCATTTTTAAATGTCCGCTAGTGAAACGAGGAGTAACGGTAGTTCGGAATAGGAAGCCTAGTCCGAACTCCCTAGTCCATGCCACGTGTAGCCGCGCGGCACGGAGTCCGCACTAGCAGACATTTAAAAATGGCAGCGCCCGGCGAGATGCAAATGAAGCCCGGGAAATTCAAATCCCGGGCTTCATTTG